GTGCAGTTCTGGTCACCACATTACAGGAAGGATGTGATTGCAGTGGAGGGGGTGCAGAGGAGATTCACCACTATACTGCCTTGGATGGAAAATTCAAATCACGTGGAAAGGTTGGGTAGGTTTGAGTTGTTTTCATTGGAGCAGAAATAATGAAGGGAAAATCTGATTGAGGTGTACAAGATTGAAGGGCATGGAGAGAGTGGACAAGGAACAGCTGTTCCCCTTAGTTGAAGAGTCAGTTGAGGGGACATGGGTTCAAGGTGAGGGGCAGGAGGTTTAGGGGGAAAATGCATAAGTACTTTTTGACTCAGAGGGTGGTGACAGCCTGGAATATGCTGCCTGGAAGGATAGTAGAAGTGAGTTGGTTCAGATCCTTTAACAAGTACCTGGATGTGAGCTAGGCCTGTCATAACATGTTAAGGCTATTGACCAAGTGCTGGTAAATGGGATTAGGTTGAAGGCCAAGTGCTTCTCGCGTATCTGTGTAGACACGATGTGTTGAAGGACCTCTTCTGTACGGTATTATTCTGTGACTCTGATTTCATGAACGATACTCTTCCCAACCTTTGATCCCAGGTTGATTTTCTGAACACAACCGTGCTATCACTAAGGCCGTGTATTTTCAACTGTCATTACTGAAATCTGCCCTTTCTCGGCTTATCTGCTGCTGCAAAAGACATCCATGCTTTTGTTAACTCTAAACTTGACAATTCCAATGTTTTTCAAGCGTAGTGGCAATGTGACTAAACTAGTAATCCAGAGGACTTGGCTATTTCTGTGGGACATGGTTTTGAATTGCACCACTTGAGTCAAGACGCACAACAGTATGGTTGACTCTTAATCCCTTCTGGAATGACCTAGCAAGCCAATCAGTCATATTGAAATGCTAAGAATTCTAGAAGATATTGATATTTGTATACAGTCCTTAAACTACATGTAATTGAGAAAGTTTGGCAATTCGTCAGTGCCCGATAATGTATGATCATGGATAAATTTGAACAAAAACAGAAGTTGCTGGAAAAGCTGAGCAGATCTGGCAGCATCTGTGAAGAAAAAAAGGTCAGTTAGCATTTCCGGTCCGGTGGTCACTGGACCCGAAATGCTAACTCTGATTTTTTTTCTTCACAGATGCTGCCAGACCTGCTGAACTTTGCCAGCAACTTCTGTTTTTGTTTCTGATTTACAGTATCTGCAGTTCATTTGGTTTATATTATGGATAAATTTGAATTCTTCTGAATTTGGTGTATTAATGCGCCAGGTGTGACTTAGAACATGTTTGCAGGCATACTGCAGACATAAGAGAATAACATGCCAAATTTTTTGAATACATTACAATTTTAGCAATTAAGATAGCATTGTTGATTTGTTTCCCTCTGAATTGCTTTAATAGACTGTCTTTAACTTTTCTGTTGCATTAGAACAGTTATGCTAACAAGTCTGAGTAATCACCAGGATTAAGAAAGTCAAAACTAATGAACTAAAAGTCTTCTGCAGTGAAACTGCTTTGATAAAAGGTATTCTAGGAGGAATTGAGAATACCCTCCATCACGTTGTGTAGCTCTATGACTGTACTAAATGGGACAGACTTTGAACAGATCTAGCAACTCAAGACTGAGTATCCATAAGGCACTGTGAGCAATCAACAGCAGAATTGTACTCCAGCATAATCTGCAGCCTCATGGCCCAGCATCTCCCCCATTTAACCATTATCATTGAGCTAGGAGATAACCATGGTTCAATGGAGAGTGCAGCAAAGCATGCCAGAAGTAGCACCAGGCATAGCTTAAAAAAGTGGTGTCAATCTGGTGAAGCTACTGATGGGACAGCTTGCACACCAATCAGCACAAGCAGCAAGTGATAGAGCTAAGCGATCCCACAACCAGACCTAAGCTCTGCAGTCCTGTCACATCCAGTCTTGAATAATGGTGGACCACTAAACAACATGCTGGAGGAGAAGGTTCCACAAATATGCCAACTCTCAAAGATGGAAGAGGCCAGAACAACAGTGCGAAAGATAAGACTGAAGCATTCGCAGCAATCTTCAGCCAGAGGTTCTGAGTGGACGATCGATATCGGCCTCCTCCAGGGGTCCCCAGCATTACAGATATCCATCTTCAATTCGATTCACTCCAAGTGATATCAAAAAACAGTTGAAAACACTGGATAGTGCAAAGGCTATGGACTCTGTCAACATTCCGGCAATATCACTGAAGGTGTATACTGCAGAGACTTGCAGCTCCCCTAGCTAAACTCTTTCAGTACAATTACAACATTGGCATCTACCCAATAATGTAGAAAACTGCCCAGGTATGTATTGTACACAAAAGCAGGACAAAGCAGGGCAGCACGGTGGCTCAGTGGTTAACACTGCAGCCTCACAGTGCCAGGGATCTGTGTTCGATTTCAACCTCTGGTGACTGTCTGTCTGTCTGTGTGGAGTTTGCATATTCTCCCCGTATCTGTGTGGATATTCTCCAGATGCTCTGGTTTCCTCCCACAGTCCAAAGATGTGCAGGGTAGGTGGATTGGCTATACTAAATTGCCCATAGTGCCCAGGGATGTTTAGGTTAGGTGGGTTAGACATAGGAAATACAGAGGTAGGGGAATGGGTCTGGGTGGGATGCTCTTCAGAGGGGCAGTATGGACTTGTTAGGCCCAAAGATCTGTTTCCATACTGTGGGGATTCCATGATTCTGTGAAATCCAACTTTGTCAATTACTGCCCTATCGGTCTACTCTCAATCAACAGGTGTCATCAACAGTGCTATCAAGCAGCTCCTGCTCAGCAATAACCTACTTAGTGATGCACAGTTTGGGTTCAGCCAGGGCCACCCAACTGCCGACCTTGTTTTAAAGAAGGCCAAAAGACCTGCATTCCAGAGGTCGGGTGAGTGTGACAGCTCTTGACATCAAGGCCACATTCAGCCAAGTGTGGCATCCGGGGTGCCTTAGCAAAACTGGAATCATTGGGTATCTCTGCTGGTCGGAGTCATATCTCGCAGATAGAAAGATGGTTGTGGTTGTTGAAAGTCAGTCATCTTGGCTGCTGGAGTTCCTCAGGATCGTTTCTTAGGCACAACCATCTTCAGCTGCCTCATCAATGACCTTCTCTCCATCATAAGGACAGAAGTGAGGATGTTCACCAATGATTGTAGAATAATTCAGCACTATTTGCGACAACTCAGATACTGAAGCAGTCCATGTTCAAATGCAACAAGCTCTGGACAATACCTGGGCTTGGGTTGATAAGAGGCTAGTAACAATTGTCACACAAAAGCCAGCTCTTGTCTCTAACAACCTAACCATCATGCTTTATCATTCAATGGTGTTATCATCACTGAATCTCCCACTATTCTCCACTATCAACATCCTTGGGTTAACACTGACCAGAAACTCAACTTGACTGGCCACATGAAGACAGTGGCTACAAGAGCAGGTCAGAGGTTAGGAAGAGTGCAGCGAGTAACACGCCTCCTGACTCCCCAAAGCCTGCCCATCATCAACAAGGCACAAGTCAAGAGTGTGAAGGAATACTGCCCACTTGCGTGGATGGGAGCAGCTCCAACAACACTCGAAGCTTGACACCATCCAGGACAAAGCAGCCTGCTTGATTGACATCACATCCACTGTCTTCCACCACTGACAGTCAGTAGCAACAGTGTGTGCTATTTACAAGATGCACTGCAGCAATTCACCAGAGATCTTTAAATAGCACCTTCCAAACCTGCGACCACTTCCATCTCGAAGGACAAGAACAGCAGATACATGGGAAAACCACCACCTACAAGCTCCCCTCCTAGCCACTCAACATGCTTACTTACAAATACATCTGTCTCTGTTGCTGGGTTAAAATTTTGGAATTCCTTCCCTGACGGTATTGTGGGTCCACCCACAGCACATGGAATGCAGCGGTTCAAGAAGGCAACTCACTGCCACTTTCTCAAGGACCGCTAGGGATGGGCAATAAATGCTGGCCAGCCAACAATGCCCACGTCCCACAGATGAATAAAAAAAAACTTAATTTTATAACAGAAATTGGGTAAATTAATTTTTAGCTTCTATGATGACTGACTTGATGGTAAAGTAATCATGACTGTGTCATTCAGGTTTTTATTGGTTGAGGAATCCACTGGGTGAACATGTGGACTCAAAAGTTGTACAAACAATGGCAAGCTTGAGTACTGAGTCAATCACTGGTGTGTGAGCATGATGCTTTTGTCTGCATAAACCATAGGAATGAATGCAGCGTTTTTCACTGTTAGTAGGAATGTGTTTGTCAGGTCTATTTTTTTTTTGTTTCCAAGGTGGACTGTTTGAGCCCTGCAAACCATCAGAAGCTTTGTGTTCTCTTCAGTAGTTCTTCTGTTCAGTCAAGCAATGCACCAAATCCATGTGTTAGTCCGTGGTGAGTAAACATTTTGCTTTCACTTTATTTAGTCTTAAATTATTTTGGAAAACGTGCTGTAAATTTGAACTCTACACTGGTTATGTGATACCTGGACTTAAGGAGTTGAGTTATGAGGCGAGACTATCTAAATTTGGGTTGTATTCTCCAGGATTTAGAATGTTAAGAGGAATGTTTCAAGATATCAACAGAAAAATACAGTGTAGATAAAGAAACTATTTCCACTATTTGGGGATTCTAGAACTAAGGGATATCATCTGAAAATGAAGGGCAGATCATTTAGGAGAGATGTTAGGAAACACTTCTAGACACAAGGGTGATCAATGTTTGGAACTTTTCCACAAATAGCAGTGGATGCAGGATCCGTTGTTAATTTTAATTGAGATAGAAACATTTTTGTTCTGCATAGATATTAAGGAATTTGGGCGGTCGAGGGACTGAATGGGCCTATTCCTGTTCCTATGTATGTTGTTTATTTCCTGTTTAAATGTGCTGCCAATGCCCCCTCTTATTTTTGTCCCTTGTTCTTCATTTGTCAGGACAAATACAGTTTTGCTAGTTTTTTTTTTAAATCAGTATAAATATTTGCGATAATGTTCCAAGATTGGAAAATGCATAAATTTGTTTTTGGAAGCCTAGTGTTTATAATTGTTTTGCATGAAAATCCAGTGTGCTGTTTACACTGTCCTTGTATATGCAGTATGTTGCTGAATATGTATTTTGTAGTAAATAACAACATGGTAAGAACAAATTTTGTGGTAACCTTGTACCAGTCATGTATTGCTAACTTCAGTCTTTGTAAAGACGTGTGAAGGTGGAATGCTTACCATCTGATATATACTCCATGAAATGAATCCTAGGAGCCAGTTGAAAATTATAATCAGTTTGGATAAGGTCCACAAACCCCTTAATTTTGTCTTTATTTTGTCCTAATTATCTGAAGTAAGGATAGCTATATTTGTGTCGCCATATACACGTGAGCATTACAGTGTGGAGCTGGAGGAACACAGCAGGTCAGGCAGCATCAGAGGATCAGGAGAGTTGGCGTTTCGGTTCGGGACCCTTAACCAGAATGCTCCTGCTCCCCTGCTGCCTGACCTGCTGTGTTCCTCCAGCTTCTGCAGTTCTTCCTATCTCCTACTCTTGAGTATTGTTTCATTCAAATTATCTGACTACATTGCCATTTTGTATAATTATTTTCATTGAGCTCAAAATATCAAATTATATGTAACATAAAAATTGATGGAGTTAAGGGAACCTTTGAAATTTGTTTTCAGGGCAAAAAATGGCTATTCACAGATGACTTTAAATAAAGCTTCAGTGAGAGATCTAGTCATAGAACCATTACCTACTACATTGCAGTCGGTTGCAACATACATCAGTATGGATTCCCAGCTTGGTCCTAGTAATATCACCATGCTATCCAAGCAACCAATCCCGCTAAAGAATTCTTAGATAGCTAGCCAAGAAATGAAAAGCACACGTTAAATCCCTCTTGAAAATTTATAAAGAGAAAAATAATGATTGAAAATAAGTGTTTGAAGGCATAAATTGAAATTACTGGTCTTTAAGAAATCTAACAAGGAATCAAGGTATTTAACAAATTAATATTTTAGTACCAAATCTATTAGCAAAAGATGCCAATCCTATCACCAGTAAATGCCCAGTCACTGCTAATCGAACAATTAGGGAATCCTTTAATCATTTGAGATAGTGAAATGTAAGGAAATAAGTGCCACGTCAGCTAATTTCAGTGATTTGCTGATGCTGTAGGTTGTGGGCTTGTGGTAGAGCAGTACCTAAAAAAACTAATTTCAGGGTTTTGTCATTAATCTAACCACAGACTAAATCCTGAACTAGCCATCAGTTTCAAAGAGATGTTGTAGCTGGTGGTTCTTCCTCAGCCTCTTGCTTTATTGTTTGGTGAAAAGAAGAGGCTTTGCAATAGCTTATAATGGAATGGTTTAATGTTGTACGCTTAATTATATTGCATTTTATATCAATAGGGCTGTGACATTTACTTTATAGTGAATACATGTTGGATCCAAGTGTGACATTCTAGCTTTTTCATTTCCTCTGCTTTGTTAAGCAGTCAAGAGACACTGAGTAGAGGAAGGCATTTCTTCTTTAAAAGGACATTGGAGAAAACAGCCATACAACCCTCAGCAATTTTAGTATGCTAAAGTCACAGTATAAATGCAAGCTATTTTTCTTTAGAAATTGTTAACAGCTTGCTCTGCAGCAGCATTAAAGAATGAACTTGCATATCTATTTGTCCTTTTCAGTTTCAAGCTACTTCACGACAAATGAAATGTATTTACGGTGGTATCTGAGCGAAATGTCAGACGAAGTGTGCACAAATAGCAATGAGACAAATGAGCTGATTTTTTTCTGCAATATTAATTGAGTAGTTATTGGCTAGAACATTGAGTAAATATCCTTGCTGCTGTTTGATTAGTGCCAAGGAATCTTTTATAATTACGAGAGAAAACTCACTGGGCCATATATTAAGGTCTAATCTGAAAGCTGCAACCCTTAGCAGGATTATACTCCATTCACTATTGCCCTTAAGGCTTTGGAGCAGGACTTGAGTCTACTGACTTCTGATTCAAGGATGACCACAACACACACGAGGTGACATTGAGGCAGTGGCTAAAGTGCAGCTTGCCTGCAAGCACACTTAGTTTATGATGTCAGAAGACAAGGGATATTAATTTTCTAAATCAAAAGGTAAAACTGCGTAGGTAATGTTCTTTTCTAGGTTGAGATCTTTCCAATTGCCGGTATGTTTTCTTTATGAAATGTTTATATTTATGAATAGCACATTGCAAGCTTTTTGATTGATGTAACACTTCATTTCAATTAAAAATCTTGTAAATTCTTAATGTTATTGTACATTTCTTCAATTTTATAGGTAACCTTTTCAAATCCATATTATGATGTTTAGGTTGACTTAATCCCACAATATTGAAATATTTTAAGAAATGTTTTCCTCCTATCTACAACCTAAAATCCATACAGAAATGCTTTTTTTTTTGCCAATGCACTTAAGAGGATGAGTGAAATAATTCATTGAGAATCATTTGTCTCCAGTACAGATCATCTGAGAAATAATTTACTTCCACATTGTTAGGCATTGCCAAAAATATAAAAAATGTGATGAATTGTTCCAACATGAATTGAAATAATTACTATTTTAACTATGCATGATTATCACTGAACATATTTTTTTCAGTATTTTTAATTATTGATTATGTTGGTTGTACTTTTTAGGATTGTCACAATGGAATTTTATGGAAAAAATGATCTGACTTTGGGAATATTTTTGGAAAGATACTGCTTTAGGTGAGTATGGTGGTTCTCCTCTATTTTCAGGAATAAAATTATTTTACTGGTTTAACAGATTTTTATTTGTATTAAATTCTACATAAAGTCTGCTGTCAAGTGCTCCCAACTCATTGTAGATTCAAACCACACTTTTTGGATTTGAGAATCTTGTTAATTCCATTTAAACTGTAACCAAAGTTTTAATTATTTTTGCATTTCTTGATTGCTTCAGCTTATGTTGCTATAGAACCATGATGTGTTTAGACCTGCAAATGATAGCTGCCTATTAATAGACGCTACTCTCAAAGGCCTCTGTTTACTGCACAGCTGATATTTCAAATTTAGCCATTTTTAAACTTAGACGGAAAAAACTATCAGACTGTTAACTATTGCTAAATTATGGTAAGGTTCCATTGTTCTAATGTTTGTGTCTTTATGCTGATTCAAAATAATGTTTTGATGTAGAGGAACTGATTTGTTGATCCAAGTTTTCCTACTTAATTTTTTTTTATAGTACCTGTATCTATAGTCACAAGTTCAAGTGTAAGAGAGAACAGGTGGTTCATTGAGGTTATTTGGTGGCTTAGGTTACCAATTGCAGATTCTGAATTGCAGTATTTCAAGTGCATAAAATCTTGTAAAAGGTATCCTTACTAGTTACTAGAGCAATGTATAAAAAATCATTGGGGCCCAGGTTCAGGTCTCACCTCCCAAGTGTGTCATAACATGTTGAACAGGTTGATAATAGTAACTAAAACTCTAGGCATTTGTTGTGGCTGATAAGTCAGGATGAATAGTGTGGCTTATTTATTTACAACAAATACTTAATTTAATTCATGATGTAAAGTTTATTAATTAAAGGATTTATTTAATAGGATAAGGGATTTGCTGCTAATTGCCTGACTGCTTTGCATGATTTGGTGATTTAGGTTGTACTAATTCCTACTGCGATCCTTGCTAGTAGATAATACAGTACATAATTTGAAGAACCGACATAACAGAACACTCCTGAAACATTTAATTATGGGCAAAGACACTTTTTGCTTTTGATGAAAACATCAACAGAATCACTGAAAAGGATCTTGAAATAGTAACAAATTCCAAAATGCCACACAATTATAAATGTCAAAACTTTTTATGGTTTTAAATATTGGGAATTTTACACATTATAATATTCTGTTTTTCTTTGCAGACCCTCCTATCAGTGTCCCAGCATGTTCTGTGAGACACCTATGGTGCATCATATACGCCGTTTTGTGCATGGCAATGGTTGTGTACAGATTGTATTAAAAGAGCTGGACTCTCCTGTTCCTGGTTATCAACACACAATACTAACATACTCTTGGTGCAGAATATGTAAACAGGTACTTCAAAATAATCACTTGCATACGATAACCATTTTATAAAGTTAAGTCGTGTTCTCCCAAAGTTTCATCAATAGATGAAATTTTTTGTTTTCTACACTGTACGTGATGTATTGTGTATTACTGCAGGTAACTCCAGTGGTTCCGCTGTCCAGGGATTCTTGGTCTATGTCCTTTGCCAAGTATCTGGAGTTAAGATTCTATGGCTATCAGTATTCCCGCAGAGCAAATGCGGAGCCTTGTGGTCACTCGATGCATCATGATTATCACCAGTATTTCTCCTATAATCAAATGGTTGCATCATTCAGGTAAATAAGAGTCTAGTCATATCTATTTTAGCATGCTGCGCTCATAGTCAATGCTTTAAATCAAAATTTTGTTTACCTTCATCTAAGAAGTTTTATTAATGTTTAGGAAACCATATAAATCCGCTGCTGAGTAGTTGGTTATTCTTAATGGAAGATGTGAAATGTTCCTGTCATAGTTTCATGCAAGTTATTTTGTGAGCATTGCACGTTTAGCAAATTATTTAAATCCATATAAGAGTTACACTTGAGCAAATAACATTTAAGTCTAATGTATGATTATCTTTATCTGCATGATTTTTGTTCCGTGATGTGTTTTGTCAATCACTTGCTGTATTTGTGAAGCATCAAATCTCTTATCCAGAATGATTAATACCCTGAGCTGGTATGGTTTCTCAATTGTCTCCAAAATATGATTGCAATGTAGTTACTTAAGCATATAATATCGAGGTTATCAATGACATTGGAACTAACTTCAATGTCCTGTGCCTCAGGGAACTTAACTCCTCTTCCTTCATTTCCAAAACATCTCTAAAAGCCCCTTGTGAAAAGCTTCAGGAGCAATGTACACATACAAAATGTATTGCTGGAGCAACTCGGCACGTCTGATAGCATCTGACAGAGCGAAAGCAGAGTTAATGCTTTGAGTCCAGAGACCCTTCTTCACAACTTCAGATTTTCAGTATCTGCAGTTTTTTTTTATAGCAATCTATTGAAGCATGCAGAGTACAATGAAGTAGGATGGGCTCAAAGTCACTGCTTTGTCGTAGTCAGAAATTGTAACGGCACGAGGAAATCCAAACTTGCCCGGTTCCACATTAAAGTGAACATTCCTTGTTAACATTACCAAAAACATTTCTACTCATTGGCTAGAATTTTCTAATGGTCATTGCAGAATAATGTTTCTGTGTTCAGTTTATTCATTTTTCTTGTTTTTTAATTGAGCTATTTTAGTGGTATCTTAAACGTGTTCAATCATTTTCAGAAACTACTTTTTACGATAAATGTATTATCGCTGCTATTGATTGACAAATATGTTAACTTTTTCTACTACCAGCTTTTCCCCCATTAGAATACTTGAAATTTGCCTACCCCCACTAGAAATATACATCAAACCTCAAATGCCATCAAAGCAATTGATTGTTCAGGATTTGAAGGATTTTTCACAAAAGTAAGTTTGAACCCAGTTGGCAAAAAAATTCTTGCTTAATGGATAATTTGTTTAAAGATGGTGATTAATGAATATTGGCTATTTTTCAGAGTATCACAAATCTACTCAGCAGTAGACGATCGCCTGGTGTCCCTGAAAACGGATACCTTCAACAAAACAAGAGAAGAAAAAATTGAAGATTTGTTTGCACAAAAAGAAGTAACTATATTTTTCAAACCAGTACACAGCATATGTAAAATAATGTTTAAAATTTTGTTTAATGTTTAAAGCTCCCTTCCCCCTCATTAAACTTGTTCCTTCTTGAGGCTGATGTGTTTTCTTTGTGGATACAGATGGAAGAGGCAGAGTTTCTAAACTGGTTTGAAAAAACTCAAGCAAGATTGCTGACCTCCTCCGTCGACAACCCTCAGCAGTTGGTATTTTTGGACGATTGCTTAATTACCAAGAAGCAGAATTTGTGTGAGCTGTTACAGGCTTGGAATAACAGGTGGGATTGAGGCTACAATAATAACTTCAAATACTTTAGTTCAGATAATTGGTTTTAATAACTTACATTACATATAAGAATACAAAGTTAAAATAACACCGTTAATATCACATAAAACCAAAGAGCATTGTACTGCATTCAAGCAGCTTGAAGCTTTGGATTGAAATTCAGTTTGCCGGCTCATGTAGTATAGTTTTAGTGTCTCTACCACTGAGCCAGAGACCTGGGGTCACATCCTCTCTTGCTTCAAAGATGTGTCTTAACATCACTGACCAAGTTGATTAAAAATAGTTAAAGTTAAGAAGAGTGGTTATTGAATAACAAATAGCAGTGACAGCCTATTATTTACAAGCTGTATCAAATATAGTTTAGTATAGTCAATTGATTGACAATATTTAATTGCCGGCTATCTAATTGGTGCAGATAAGACTAGTTTTTGTTTTTAACTTGTGGGGGTGGGGGGGGTGCAGTGTTCATCTTGATCAGATAGCTCAGTAGATTCTAATAAATTTTATAGTACAGCATGAACTTTTTTAAACACAATCCCTTTCTTGCAGACTACAGGATCTGTTTCAACAAGAAAAGGGTCGGAAACGACCAACAGTACCACCAAGTCCTGGTAGATTGAGGTCAACTGAAGAAACCAAGGTAATCAACTTATTGACTAACTTGTATTAACTCAACTAATGATTGCAACCTTTTTCCCCCTTTTACTTCATTTGCAGTTTCATTTATATTCTCTGTGCTTCAGTGTCGAACTCGTTCTCATTTCTTTCTTGATCCGAAAGTGTGGTTGTCAACAAAGCAGAAGTGTTTTTTTTTTCTGAATTGGAGACACACATTTTATATTATTTATATTTTGCTTTATTTTATTTTAATATAAAATGAAGAACTGCAGGTGCAGGAAATCTAATATAATGACAGGAAATGCTCTGCATCCTCCTCCCCCCACCACTTCCCTATTCTTTGCAGGTCTACTCCCCCATCCCCATCCGTCATCGATCTACTTACCCGCCTTCCTCGCACCTTCTCTCATAGTCCTCAGGGTGGTCATAACAATTTCATAATATTTCAGGCCTCTATATAGAGTCACAGTTTGCAAACGGTTTGGGAAGCAATGCTTTAAACTACGGAAGTAATAACTCTTTTACTGTCTTAATATAACCAATAACACTGCGTCATGTATATACATCTCTGCAAAATTGCAGATTTTACAAAGTCACTCCTACTCTGTTTCCACTTCTCCCCATTTCACCAAATCATAATGTTCAGTGACCATCAAAAGTCCTTTTCCATAGTTGTGAAAATTCCCAAAGCAACTTCTGCTGTAAGGCCCATCCTCATGATTGCTTTCCAGTGTCCTTGGATCTCTGTAGGTTTCTTCGCTTTGACCAGAGGGCAGCATTCATTAGCATTTTTCATCGTAGCTAGTAGGGAACATATTTTCCCTGTTGCCTGTAATGGCTGCTGCCAGCATGTCTGCCTGGGAATCCATGTCTTCACAGCGCAAGGACAGCTGACTGTTTGTTTCTTTCTGTTCAGGTGTGGAATATGGCAGGCTTCAATTAATCATACCCTGGACCTCCATTCAAATGGTAAATGTGACTTGACTTGTAACCAGATGGAGTCCAACATAGCTGCATACCATTCGCCTTTTTAAGAACGTGCTATTTTACGTTCAATTGGAAGCGACAATTTAAAAACTATCTTATCTCATAGTCATAATGCACTGTTGACCGTTTGTTGATCTTTCAAACTTTTATTATGTTTTTTAGTTTCCATTTCTTTCATTGTTTGTTATTAATGTCTTTTACAGAGCAGTGTACTGGATACGTCTCCACGCAGTTCAGCTTTAGGTCTACCAAATGGCGATAAAGGTTTGGCTTGGTCTTTTTCAAAATCTAATCAGTATGAAAAGTGCTTCATTACAATAAAACTTAAACCAAGCATCTCCAGTAAAATACACATTCTGTACTGTGGGTATATTCATGCCCTTAATCGATTAAAGCCTCCTCATCACCCAATAGATTGCCTCTGCCTTTGTCATGGCGGAGCTGTTCACCTTCATGGATTCTGGTATATGCAGTTTTTATTTTCTTTTGTTGCTCCTTTACAGGAGTTGATCTCAAGCTGCATGAAGCTTACTTGCATTCTGTTCTAGTAGCTATATCATTTTTTAAAATTCAGTTTCCCAATCTTGGAAGCAATGTAAATCAAAGAGAAAAATAAAGAGATTTCAAATAAACTTTTTAGCCTGCTTTTATTTAGTAAAGATTACCTGAAACCTAATTTTGGAATATTGAAGTGCAAACATATTTGGCAGCTGAACTAATGAAAGTTATTTGTACATCTCAAGAAAATTTCTTCTGAAATGTTGTAGTCTCATTTTCTCCATCAGTTTTTTTTTGTTTATTTTGGGTGGAAAATGGGGAATATTTCTCCCTTTATGATTCAGCTTCTGTGACATCCAGTGTTCTGTTCTGCAAGAAGGCAAGGTTCACATTCCCCTCCAGGGACCACCTTGTTTTTGCTGAACTGTATTTCACAGACAGACCTGTATTTAGTTATTACTTGAGAATTGAGGGTTCAAATGTATGTATCATCTCGCAGCTCAATGTTTGTTTGTACTACTACCATGCCTGAAAGACTTTGTTTGCAACACGTCTTCAATATGATCAGAAATTAAAGTTCTATTCTGTATATTGTAGAATTAACATTGCAACTCAAGCACCGTATGTAATAGAGGGATGATTGATATAAAGAGGGTTAAGTTTTATATATATTATACATACTGTTGAATGCAACAAGTACTGCTATCTGATATAGACCATCTGTAAGCATAAGTTTAACTTTTTTTTTTGGTGATTTTTTTTAAGTTTTACATTTATTAAAAGTAATTTTCGCAGCAATAAAATAGTTAATGAAATTTAGCATCAACTTTTGTGATCTCAAACTTATGAAACCACTGTATGATGAAAATAAATTCTGTCTTGCAGAAGATCGCTTATTGCCCACCATGGCGGCTAACTCTACCAACACTGCCAATTCTCAGTTGCTCTCCTGCCCAGATGTATGCACCGAACAAGTGTCTGCTGGACCCAATATTCCCACAGTGTCTGTTATCAGTGACCAAGATACCAACAATTCTGATGGTAGGAAGTTCATGAAAAGATTTTGCAGCATCAGTGACGTGCATAAGGAATAGAAACAAAGTGCTGGAATTGTTCAGCAGGCCTGATTAGCATCTGCAAAGAAAGAGAATTAATGTCTGTCTAAATAATTAATTCTGTTCCTCTGTCCACAGGTGTTGTTTGAGGGTTGCATGCCCTACTGCTGTTTCTGTTATGCATTGCTGAAAATAAAAGTTTACTATGTTAACTATTGATAACTTTTATAGTGCAATGTGTAACGACAAGATCAGGAGTGTTCAACACTCTCCTGTGTTGAAACCCGGCTTCAGTCATTCGCAGCAAATTTTTTTTTTTAAACCTTTTTAAGCATATTGCTGTTACACTTCAAATAAGCTTACTTGGCCAAATAAATTGAAAGTCAGTCAATTCCACGGGTTTCTTTTGAATGACAGCATGGAATATTAGCCAAAAAAAAAACTGAGATATAACAAATGCTCATAAAACAGAAGTAATAAGTTTAAAATGTGGAAGGTTGGGGAGGAGGGGTACCTAGAAAGGACAAAGAGGTAAGGGCATTGCAGTTTGCAGTCTTTGGAGTCTTTTGAGTTATGAAAGTGAAACCAAAGTCCTGATTGCAGAGCTGTTCTGTTTTTTTTTCAGGCATGGTGGAGCTTGCAGATGCCCTAGATATCTCAGTCAACTGAGATTTCTCTAAGATTTCTTCTCTACCGAAGCTGTTTGGCTGAGATTGAGATTGTGACAGAGCAAGTAGGAGGAGTTTTTGTATCCTCATTGCATTCAGTCTATGTAGCTCAATTCAAGCTACTGAAATATGATTCCTTTGTTTAATTCCCAGTCTAGCTCCGTTGTTTGCATGCATAACCTCACATCTTCTATGTGAAGTTATCAAGTGTGAGAAAAACATGAGATGCAAGTATTTACATCTCACTCCAGTTCTGCTGTTCAGTTTTCTCCAGTTTTGCTGCTTGATTGAAATGGTAATTCTGAGCCTGTAAGTTTTTGTAAATTCCATGTGATTTGCCTGGGTTTAGCTGGTGATCAGAGAAGCCTTATAACAGTATGGTTATGAATATTCTTTATTATCTTCAAAGCTTTGTAAATTCATGCCACATGTGAAGTTGATCTTATTCAACATTTTTTACGCAGTTCACTGTGTTGCAATTACCCACTCTATAAAAACATCATTGTGTTTGGTTGCATAATATGCACTCTGGTGTTTTACAAGAGTAGATCTTTGACCTTGTGAGCAGGACGTGTCACAAAAGAGCAGGTGCTTCTTCCTTGACATCAAAACAGCATTTGAGTATGGCATCAAGGAGCCTTAGCAAAAACTAGTCAATGGAAAGCAATGGAGACCTCTCCACTGTTTGGAGTCATACCTAGCACCAGGGAAGATGGTTTAGATTGTTAGCAGTCAATCATCTCAGCCCCAGGACTCTCAGTGCAAGTTTTTTGATGTAGCATCCCAGGCCCAATCATCTTCAGCTACTTCATCAATCACTTTCCCTTCATCATAACAGCAAAATTGAGAATGGGCTGCTGATTGCACAATGTTCAACACAACTTGAAATTCAGAAACCGAAGCAGTCCTGTCAAATGCAGAAAGAGCTAGACAACATCCAGATAACGGACTTCTAAATGGTAAGTAAACTTCACACGCCAATTGTGTCAGGCAATATGACACCATAAAAAATCTAAACCATTACCACTTCACATTCAGCATTACCATTGCTTATACACCCTGCTATCGACATTGTAGGGCTTACATCGAGCAGAAACTGCACTGGACCAGCCGTAAAAATACTGGGGCTGCAAGAGCAAGTCAGAGGTTAGGAATCCTGTGTCGAGTAACTCACTCCCTGACTCTCAAAGCCAGTCCACCTATCTCTGAGTCAGGAATGCAATGAATGCTCTCCACTTGCTTGGATGAATGCAGCTCCAACAACATTCAAGAAGCTGGACACCATCCAGAACAAAGCAGTCCACTTAGTTTGCATCCAGTTTATCACTTCTATTATTCACTTCCTCTGATACTAACACATTGTGGCCACAGTGTCTACTACTTGTAAGGTGTGTAGTGATTATAATGAAGTCAGCCAGGTGGACCTCATAAAATATGAGTTCCCTGATTGGGGCTGTTAACCTTGTGCAGTCAGGAAGCCCTGGCTGACAGATATAAACAGGAATGTCAGACTGGGTCAGTGTCAAGGACTGTCCATGTGTAAATAAAGGGTGACTTGGTGGTGAAATATCAGCCTCTGTGGAGTTATTTCAAGGTGCACTGTAACTCATCCAGACTTGTTCAATCGTGCCTTCTAAATCTGTGACTACTTCTACCTAGAGGGATCAGGACAGAAGAAGCATAAGGTCACTACACACCATCCTGATTTTGAACTATATTGCAATTTTTGACTGACACTGGTCCAAAATTTTGTAACGGCTAACTACACTGCGGGTGTGCCTGCACCATAAGGACGGTAGCAGTTCCAGAAGGCACCTTTTCGAGGACAATTAAAGATGGGCAATAAATCGTCACCCAACCGGTGATGCTCATATCCCTTGAAATATTTTTTTAAAGAAAGTTCTATGTATGAAGAGGTAAATGCCATAGCTTGAAAACTTGCTCATTTACCATTGTTTATCTTTGGATTTTGTTCTCAAAAATACTTCTTGATATTGCCTTTTTCCACCTGACAATATTCGTCTTAAATAGACTTGGCTTATTTTTCTTCTCCCTTAGCAGAAATTACTACTTGAGTAATAAAATTTTCATTATGCTTAGTAAAAATGATGTCTTTTCAGTTCTTGAGAGCTTATCGGTTAGGGCTTTGTACTGCCAATCTTGTAATATCCTGTTGAGAAAAATCATTTATAACTAGTTCAGTTACTTTCAAGAAAGTTAATACAGGCAGAATATACACTTAATTAATAATCACTAGTTTTACACAGGATAGTAGTTGATGGGAATCTGTTATAATTGAGGGATTTAGTTGGTAAATTGCAAATATGCAGTTAACTAAACTGTTACCTATACTCTTGTTATATTTATACTTCAGCATGTTCCCAACGTTAGGCTGCATGTTTTATCTATGGGCCAAAGAAAGGAATGTAATGAAATAAGGAAATTTCTCTGCTATATCCTCTAATGTACTTTTAAGTTGGCACATTGAGTCTCTGCACTTTGTCAGTGACTGATTTTGCTAGAACTAATTTTTTTTATTTACTTTATTTTGGATAATAAATATGCTGTCTTTAAGTAAAGCCATTTGTTCAATTTTTTTTGAGCAAACGATAACATTGACAGACTAGTCATTCTGCATATTGAGTTATCTTGCTTAAAGTAGTCCAGGTGGAAATGTACTGGGGTGCATTTGAGACTTTGACATCTTTCAAACTCCTTGCATTTATGTGACAGCCTTCTCAAAATAATGAGTTTTAACAGGTTATGTTAAACTTGCAGATGTATATGATGGACACCTTTTGGGCTCCAGTGACAGTCAAGTAAAAGAAAAGTCAACTATGAAGGCTATTTTTGCAAATCTTCTTCCTGGAAGCAGTTACAACTCCATTCCTTTCCCATTGTAAGTGATTTTTTTTCCTGTTCTGTTGACACATTTTAAAGTCAAATGTGGTTGTTCGGTAAGAAAGTCTATTTTAGTTTGTACTTAATATCAAACTGAAATTTACAGTGTAAATTCTGTAGTTGCCAACCTTAAGCAGGGTTTTAACAAGGCTATCAGTGAAATAACAGATCAATTAAGAACCAGTTGAAACTACATCCTCATTAAGTGAGTCAACATGGCCTTTTGTCTTAGGAGTATACAAACCTAGCTAATTTACGTTTTATAGAAGAGTATGGAAGTTAAGTAATTAAGGAATTTTTGGGAGGAAAGAAAAGAGGTGTTCTGTTGTTTTTGCTTTCTGTAAACATTTTCAGCCTCAGGAATTGATAGTTCTTCTAGTACAGTCATTTGGTGAGTATCTGGTAAATGGCTAAGGTTTATTTTATTGCTAAAATTCAATGTGCTATAGCAACTGGTGGTAACGTTAATAAAATATACAAAAAAGAACTAACTATAAAATAAAATAATATAATTAATTAGAACACATTAAGGATGCCAAGACAGGTGATACAGTTTCAGCATATCGGAGTTCCTAGATGCTAATTTGGTCCAGAGTAAGCATATCTGCCATAAGCATTTGGAGTTCAAGCTGCTTCAACTCGGTTTGAGCTGGAGGCTGAACTACAGACACCATGACAAATCAGACAAATCTTTGTACCAGAAAGCGGTTCCGTCCCTTGGAGTTGGGTTGTCTGATTTGAAAGGAGGTCAGGGAGAAGAGTGTGACTGAGAGGCAGGTAAGGAGTGCAGTCAGCTCAGCCTTTGCAATTTTCCAAAAAAAGTTTGACATTCTTGCATCCAGTTAGGATGAGAGTAAGGACTGCAGTGTGAGTGTGTTAACTGACCATGGCACCATTCAAGAGAGGACAGTAAGAAAGAATGTAATGTTAATCTGTTGGACTTCTCGGAGGTAAAATCAAGATGTTGGTATAGAAGAACTAGTGGACGTATTGTATTTAAATTTCCAGAAGGCATTCATAAGATGCCACATTAAAGTTTTTTTTGTGGAAAATGAAAGTTCACGTTGGAGAGGGTAGCATATTGACATTGAAGAAGATTGGCTGGCTGACAGGAAGCAGAGAGTAGATGTAAATGTATCTTTTTCAGATTGAAAAGATGTGACAGGTAGAATGTCGCAAGGATTGCTGCTGGGATCTTAACTGGTTACACTGAATGTAAATGACCTGTGTTGAAGAGATAACACCAAGATAGAAGGAAAGTAACTTGTGAAGAGGACACGAGACTACGAAAATGTAGATGGGTAGATAGGGTAAGTTAATTTGAAAAAATGTGGCAAATGGAGTATAGTTTGGGAAAACATAAAGTTGTCCAAATTAGCAAAAAGAATCGTATGTAAATGATAAGAGGTTGCAAAGCTTTGAGATGCAGGGAGATCTGGATGACCTGGTGCATTGATTGTAAAAGGTTAATGTACAGCTAAAGCAAGTCATTAGGAAAGGGAAGGGCATGTCTTTATTTACCACAAGGGCAATTGATTACAAAAGCAGAGAGGTTATGCTCCGGTTGCACGGGCACTCATGAGACTACATCTGAAACACTGTTCAGTTTTGATTCCTTTAAGGAAAGGTATAGATGTACTGGAAGCAGCTCCGAGAAGGTTTATTAGACTAATGTGTGGAATGGGGATTTGCCTTATGAGGAACGGAGCCGACCTGTCCAACGTATCCACTGGAGTTTGGAAAAGTAAGAGGCAACTTGATTGTAACAGATAAGATCGTGAAGAGTCTTGAAGGGATAGATGTGGAGAGGAGGTTTCCTGTTATGGGTGAATTTAGAACTAAGGGTCACTGTTTAAGAAATCAAGTGTGGCCATTTGGAGCAGGTGTTGGACAAAATTGTTTCTCTCAGGGGGAGGGGGAGGTGGGGTTGTGTATCTTTGGAACCCTTTTCCTAAAAAGGTGGTAGAAATTTAAAAAATTTTTTAAGGTAGAGAGGTTTGTGTTAAACAGGGCTAAGCAGTTATCAGGGGCAGGTGGGAAAGCAGATTTGAGGTTAATTATCAGATCATCCATGATTTTCATGAATGGTTGAGTAAACTTGATAGGCTGAATAGCCCATGCATGCTTCGATTTCGTACGCTCATACGTACTTTTTTTTAAACTTTGTTTTAAAAAGAAATCTTCCTGGTGCGGTCCATCACATTTTGAATTTCATTTCTAGATGTTGTGTTCCTAGTTTCCAATAACTTGAGTGAAACCAGAATATCTAGAATTGATTTGTGTTCTGAACTGTAGACTTATAGTGCAAAAATGTTTGTGCATTTCAATTACGCTTTAAATAAATAATCGTGAATGTCTGATTACCCTGATGCAATGATCAAGCTTAATATATTTCAACTTGCACAATTTATGTTTAATGTTACTTAAAACCAAAGTACAATAAGAATTAGAAGTGGTACAAGCTCTCAGCATGAAATACTGTTAGTTGCCCATCAAGCAGCTGGCTTGCTGCTTGTAGCTATTAGCAAAAGTGGATAATACATCCACTGGCTCCCCTATTCCAACATCTTGCTTTTACCTTCTTTTTACATTCTTTCTTACTGTCCTCTCTTGAATGCTCATAAAATCGATACATGGATTCCACAGCATTTTTAAAGCAATTTGTATTTCGATATATTAAATACCTGAAAAAGACAATCTCGGTCTATGGTCAGGGTCATGTGTATAAGTAGCATATTAAACGATTTTGGTTGTTACATGAATTTTTAATTCTTTAACAGTGATCCTGATAAGCATTACCTGATGTGGGACCACGAACGTGTACCAATTACAGTATGTGAGAAAGAGCCAAGTTCGATCATTGCATTTGCTCTCAGGTACGATGCGTGTCTTTTTTTTTTTAAAGCATTGTTCTTTTTGACGTGCATTATGTCCGTTATGTAAACTTTGGCCTTTAACGTTTTAATGTCTTCTATAGTTGCAAGGAATACAAGAATGCTGTAGAAGATCTTGGACGAGAATGCATGACGAATGGGAATGACGAAGGAATACAACAAGCAAAGTAATTGGATGGGGGTGAAGTGGGAGCATGTGAAACACCGTAAAGGCAAATTAGCATGGATCATAACAGCATTTTGTTTTTAGGGTTTTTTTTTTAATGAAGCATTTTGGAATTTCTTATTACATTAAATATTGTTCTGGCTATAGATTTCCACAATATTTGGTTTGTGTTGCTCGTCTCAAGTTCTTCCCCTTTTAGGCTGCTATTACAAACTTTCAAATGTTTGGTAGTCTTTTTATTCTTTTCTGTGCAATGTCTTTCTTATGCAGCATGATTGAAATCTTTATTAAAGCTTTGCTGTCTAGTTACAATCTTTGTTAGAAACAGCTGAGCAAATTTCTGAAATAGCCTTGAAACCTTTACTGAAAAACACTGCAATGTTTCTGTTCCTTTCTATGTATGAAAAGAAATCCAGATGTATGTATGCCATCCATTTAACTTTTTTATGTTTTAAGAAAATATTTATATCTAATGTCCCTCTTGTATTGGCTGTGTTTCAGTAATGCAGACAGACCGAAGGCCAACAGTCCTGCAAGACATTTAGAAAGCAACAGCAATCAAGGAAATCGCAATACAGAATCTGAGCAGACATGTAAGTTTACTTTTAAAGGCAGACACAATACTTGCTTTGTAGTGCATTATTGCATAACGGCTCAGCAGCACCAGAGTTTTTGCTACATTGCTACTGCTGGCTTGCTGCTTGTAGTTATTAGCAAAAGTGGATAAGAATCCATTTAGAAATTATAAAAAGAAATGTTCTTGCTCTTTTCTAGCAAGAAAGACACTTGGAGTTTTGTCATTTTTCCGAGGTTCAGGGGGTAAAAGCCCTGATCTGTCCATACAGAGAAAAGAGACTTTGCGAGGTGCAGATAGTGCTTATTACCAAGTCTTTCAATCAGGGAAAGAAAGGGCAGAGAATCAAGCTGCAGAGTTACAAGGTACAGTTAAACGCTGGTCACTGACACATTAAACCTTATCGAATGAAACTTCATGTGCCTTTTGGAATTCTACGTCACTAATAGTACTTCTACTCACTTCATTCTAAAGCTTTTTTTTAAATTGGAACAATTGCTGGAAAAAAACACTTCTTTCTCTAGTGGTATTATTATTCACCAGCTATGCATAATGAGAATCAATTGGCTCCAATCATTGAGAATTGGCTATGAGGTGTAAAGGGTTTTAGTTTCCTGAACTCTGCAATTGGAGAATTTATTTGATTGCATAAAGGTATGAAAGATATTTTTAGAGTCATCTGTTATAAGAAAATTGTATTCATTAGTATACTTAATAACCAATGTTATTAGCAACCCCAAAAAAACACCATTTTATCTTGGTATATTCTGTCTCGTGTTTGATTACCAGAATTTTTGAGCTGAGATTCTTTCTGCTATTAATCCTTCCCCATGAATTAGCCCCTTTAATAAGGGGTTATGTTAGTTTATACATTTGTTTAGTATTTAAAGTCAGTTTAAAGATAGGTAAGTCTGCTAAACTCTCTGAAATAAGTGTATAACAGACTTGCCTCCATTTGAAGTACTTTTTCAAACAGTAAATCAGTCCTTAACAATTGGTCTACTCCTGTGATCCTTAAAAAAAGAACAGAAACAAACCATTCAGCATATTGATCTTGCCCCACCATTCTAGATCATGGTTGATAATCTCCCGAATGCCAGCTACCTGCACTATTTTCTTATCCCCGAATGCCATCAGTCTCCAGAAACTTATAAATGTTCTGTCTCGAACCTGCTCGATGATTAAGCTTCTACAGCCTTCTGGGGTAGAGAATTCCAAGATCCATCATCCTGAGTAAAGAAATTCCTTCTCATCTCAACCTTAAGTGGCCTGCCCCTTGTCCTGTTATCAAGCTCCTTGGGGTCATTGCCATGGCCCTAAGAATTTTATAAGTTTCAAGAAGATAGCCTCTGATTGTTTGAAATACTGGACAATACAGTCCCAATTTTCTCAATCTCTCCTCATAAAACAACCCTGGGATTTACGTAATGAACCTTTGTTGAACTACTTCTATGGCAAGTATATTCTTCCTTTAAATAAAGAGACCAAAACTGTACACAATACCCCAGGTGAGGTGTTAATGGGCTGAGTACAATTACAGCAAGGCATCTTTACTTCTATACATAAATTCCCTTGAAATGAATGTTAACGTATTTTTTTGCCATCCTAATTGCTTGCTGTCGTCTGCATGCTCGCTTTTAATGACTTGTAAGTAAGGAAACCCAGATCCTTCTGGACGCCCGCTCTACTGCCTCTTTTTTTTTTACTAGAGTGAATAACTTCTCATTTATATTCCATCTATCATGTGGAGCCTCTTGCATCATTCTCATGTCCCCACTCAATTTGGTGTCCTCGGAAAATTTGGAAATATTCTAACTGGTCCCCACATCCAAATCATTTATGTAGATTATAAGCATTTGTGAACCTAGCATTGACCCTTGAGGTACTCTACTAGTAACAGCCTGCCATCCTGAAAGTGGCCTGTTTATTCCTGCTCTCTGTTTTCTGTGTGTTAACCAATTCTCAATCCATACATGTATATTTCCCTCTCCCACTCTTGTATGTTTTCATTTACTAACCTCCTATGGAGATCTTATCAAAAGCCTTATGAAAATCTAATACACCACATCCACTGGTTCCTTTTTGTCTCTCTTGTCCATGCTACGTGTAACATCCTGAGAAAATGCCAAGTTTGTCAAACATGATTTCCCTTTCATAAATCCATGTTGACTCTCCCAAATTGCCATTATTTTCTAAATGTTCAGTTATCCCCATCCTTTTTAATAGATTCTAACAATTTCCCTTCTATGGGCATCAAGTTAACATGTCTGTAACTGTGCACTCCTCCTCCTCTTCTTCAATGAAATTACATTTGCTACTTTCAGACAATAGGAACCTTTTCTAGCATCTATAAAATTACAAAATTACCACCAATGCATACATTGCCTCCTGTTTCAATGCACTGGGATAAAGCTCATCTGGTTAAGGAAACTTATCAACCCTCAATCCAATTAGTTTTCAAGTTATCTTTTCACAAATACGAATGTCTTCTTGTTCTTTAGGTGACCAAGGGACTCATGTAACTAATGTTTCTGGAATTCTGTATTGTCTTCTGTGAAGACAGATGCAAGATAACTGACTAATGCGTGTTCCCTGTTCTCCAATATAAGTTATCCTATACCTTGCCTATAATGGGCCCACATTTATCCTTGCTCATCTTTTCCTTTCACATATCAATAAAAGTTTTTTTTTTTTTTTTTTTTAGTCCTCCTTTAAGGTACCTTGCTAATTTGCATTCATCGTATCTTCCCCTTTTCCTGATCAGTATCTTGGTCCTCCTTTCGTGTATTAAACTGTTCCCAATCTTCTAGTTTACCACTATTTCTGGCATTCTTGTAAGCAACTTCCTTTAATATAATACAATCTTTAACTTCTTTTTTAACTATGGTGATTAGTCTTTCCCTTCAGTGTTTTGTGCCTGAGAAAAATGTATCAGTTGTAGATTTTTAATTTCAACTGTAGCCGTTGTCTGTCTACTGTCAAATGTTTAGTGTATTTTTTTGATATACCCTTGCCAACATGCCTCTCCCAATTTTCTTTGGTCAGATTTACACATATGTTAATTTACAGCAATAAATTCATGGGAGCAAATGTATGATTTAAAAAGTCGAGATCTCAGACGTGAACCTGTGCACATCATAAATTGACTTGCTGTAAAAAATTTGCTGGCCATGTTTTGACTACCCGTTTAAAGATGTAGCTTTTGCATTGTTGCAGTCCTTAAGATTTTAAAACTTTTTGAAACCAATGCAAAGAATGGATGAAATGAGATCTGTTCTTCTGGTGTCCAAAGACACAGTATCTATGCAAAGCAATTTAAAAGCATTAAAACTAGTTTCAGAATCAATAAATTTGTATGACAGACATATCAAAATGAGAAATCAAGATGTTTATTTTCACTGTAAATGATTTTCTGCAGATATAAAAATAAGAAATGACCTTATTAACATGATGAACTTAGATGCATGTTTGTGTATGTAAAATTAATATTTTAATGTAATTGGCAAGTCAAGATTAGAACCATTTTCATGAAGTTCTAAACTTCAAATTCCTTCGAAGCACTTGTTGTTTAGC